AATACATACATACATATATATATATATACACACACACACACACACACATATATATATATATATATATATATATGGTCATTTTTTATTTTATTTTATTATTTTTGTTTTATATATATTTAAATTTAAAAATAATAACCAATAACTAATTATAAACTAAATAACTAATTATGCCATGTGGCATTTTTTTAGGTTGCTACTTGGCTTAAGGAGATGATTTTTTCCTCTCCTTTTAATAATATATAGATTGATGTATTAGATATAATTCTGATACAATTATCATACAATTCCTTCAGGCTTCAACTTCTTCTTCTTCGAGTTTCAATCTAAATTTTCACCTAAAAGTAACTTTATACTTAATCGATCTCCCTCACAATTGAGATATAAACTCCAAAGGATATTCTCAATCACTTGCAAGAGCATCCAATCTAAACAAATCACAAAATTGTAAAACCCAAGTATCGAATTTAAAACTTCAAATCTTTTTTACTTTAATATTTAGCAGCCATATTAATTTAAATTAATTAACTGCTTATTTTTCTCATTAATCAATCTAGTACGATAAATCTTATGTGTGTTGATGAGTGCCAAATATTATGTATGATTTTCGTCGTAGGAATTGCAGACCACCCGTAAATGAAAATTACATGAATTGAAAGTCAAATTTGCATAGAAAAAGAGGGATTCCTAAGGACCACCCGTAAATGAAAAATTACATGAATTGAAAGTCAAATTTGCATAGAAAAAGAGGGAAAGAGGATATGAGAGAAAAAAATAAAAGGATATAAATGAATCCCTTAATTGAAAGATATTAATAATGGAATGAGAGCCTTGAGGGAGATTGTATCTAAATTGCTAAAAAATTAAAATATTTATTAAAAACTGAAGAACTTTGGTAAATAAGTCTTTATTGTAGTATTTTTTTTTTGGAAAAAATCCCTTTACAGCTACAGCTACAGATACATCATTAGTTTCCCGGCAACGACGCCAAAATTTTGTCACGCCCAACTCTAGTCCTAAAAAGGATAAAATGGTCGCTACAAATATAATTCGGTCTAAGAGTCCGGAGTCGAATTCCACAGAAAACTGAGGTCTAGCTACAACTGTTCACTATCACTAAGAATACAATTTGTACCTTAATTTCAGCATTTAATTCATGCTCTTTTTGGCTACTTTCCATAGTATTAGCTCGTTGAGCATTAAATGCTTCAACTAGTTGACTCACTTGAGCCTCCAAGTTGCGAATAGTAGACTCTTGCCTTTGTATGTGCAGTTATTTCTCATTATTTTGTTCCACAAGGCACCTTAGCATATCCTTTATCTCTTTCATGTCATCATCCCTGGGTTCTTTTTTCCAATTAACTTCACAAGAAAAGGTAGAACCACCATAGTAAGGGGTTGGGGGAGGATAAGAAATATAAGCACATCCATAAAAGTGACCATCTTGACCACCACACATATTCCACACATTCCACACATAAGATTGAGTTGGTGCACATAACTCTCTCTCCAAAATATTTTGATAATTTTGCCACGGATGGTTTTCTTCGCAATATGCATAAGGAGGATTAAAAGTAGAATTACCAACATCAAAACTCTTATAATTCCAAGATTTCATATCTCTCAAATCAAAAATAAAATGAAATACAAATAAAACAAAAATAAAAGTTCAAACTTGACATCTAGCAATATTTACAGCTACAGCTACACCATTAGTTTCCCGGCAATGGCGACAAAATTTTCACGCCCAACTCTAGTCCTAAAAAGGATAAGTGGTCGCTGTAAATATAATCTG